CGTAGTTGGGACAAAGACCGTTTGTTTGTTTAAAGGACTTTAGTCAACTAAATCTTAAGATTTATAACGGACCCTCGGGCTAGCTGAACATGTACTGCGGAGACGCATAGACATCTGGCAATCATCTTACTCGAAGAATATCTAGCAATCGTCTTGCTCGAAGAATAGGGTCTGCGTGTGGCGAGCCACGGGACAGAAACCGTTGTAATGTTTACTGTCGCGTGTCGCCACGAATATTTCTTTTAAGGAGAGCTATAGAATTACTCCATACCTTTATTAGGCAAATCGTTCATCCCGAGACCGCGGCTACGTTTGGNNACGAATATTTCTTTTAAGGAGAGCTATAGAATTACTCCATACCTTTGTTAGACAAAGCGTTCATCCCGTGACCGCGGCTACGTTCAGCGACTAGCTGTCGCCTCGAGCCCAAACTCATTATCACAACTCGCGAACAATTACAATCGGATTGAATAACTACAATTGTTCAATTACAGCTATAGTAGACTCTAGATTACAATGTTGCGGGATTATCCAAAATTCCAAAGGCTCCGGTGTTCTTTCATCTCCGACATATATATATATACAAGGAAATTAGGAAAGGACAACAAAACATTACTAGGAACATTCTTAGTTCGCGTGCAAAACAGATCAATCATGCTAAAAACTAGCTGGATATTGTGCAGCTACAAATCATAGCGACCGACTGACGATCGAAGAAGGAAAATTTATAAGGCCAAACAATATGTTCGAATTATATAACAATATCGTGGTCTCATTTTAATCAAAAAAATTTCACTATGTTAATAAAATTTTTAATTAACAAAGTATTAAAAATATATAAGTTTCATCGTTACATTAGTGTTGTCTTACAGATGCGAAGATATGTGAAGCAACTGCGAGCCGTTTATTGTCATAAAATGGTCGCTCCAAACGCCATGTATCATGTACTTACCTAAGTGTCTACATAGTATCAGTAGCGTGAGCAGTGAGCATTCTCATTTCCTCTCTGTATAAAATAATGCTCGATGATAAGTGGGATTTTCATGTTGTATATAAGAGAACATTTTAATACTAATAAAATATATATAGTGGGAAATAATTTAGTTAAATATATTATTGTAATGTTTGACGTATTAAAACGTGCATAAGTCTATAAAAATAATGAAGATTCATGTTTCTTATATGTATTAATAGTATGTATATGGTTATCTTTTGTACGTGGCTCTTAAGGTTATGTATTATTATGTTATGTATTATAGATATATTTGTATAGAAACTGATATCTTAGATTACTTTTCATTGGTAAATTTTAGTCCTTTTAACTGTTTTTTATCAACTTTCTTATTTTCAACCTAATTCTATTTAATTTTCTTATTAAAGGTGGTGGCCTATTCAATACTCAAAGAGATACAAAATACCGAAGTTAATTAACGAATTAACGAATGAAGAAATTTATAAAAACAATAGAAATGAATGTGAAAGATATACAACAATTTGTACCAAAAAATAAGGTTTTAGATAGATATTCCAAGTATATATTAACATATAATTTTCTGAAATTGATCATGTTCATTATTCTGCTTGGTGTAATAATAGTATTTTTACAACAAAGCAAATGCATTATTATAGAAGAATATAAAATAGATATAATCTCTAGAAATGACGAAATTCTACAGAATACGAATTATAAACTGGTTAATGATTCTATGATATTATCTAAAAAAGAAAATTTTGAATATGATATAGAATCTCATGACACAATATCGAAATTTCCTAGAATTGTACAAGTGAGTTTCAAATATTATAATTAAAAAGCATGATTGCAGGTTATAGTAATCATTGTTTTATAACTTTTATTCATTAGAAGCAGTGCAACAACATTCCCGTTACATTACGCTTTGATTGTCATCCTGAAGATGGAGCATCTGAATTATCCTGTAGAAATAGAGGTTGTTGCTGGAATTCTCTTAACAAAAAAATATCAACGACAAGACCTGTTCCTTTGAATCTTCCATATTGTTATTATCCAAGTGATTGGAGCATATACAGGTATCAAAATTTTAGTAAAGAAGGAAACAACTTTTTTGGATTCCTCAAACAAATAAAAAGCTCCTTTTATGAAGATGACCTACCACTGGTTAAAGTAGAAACCAGCACTATAGATGATACTATTCTACGTATAAAAATATATGATCCTCTTAAGAAACGATATGAACCACCATGGCCTCTCAGAGCAGATCCCAAACCATTTCTTCAAAAAAACGTTAATGCAAAATACAAATTAGAGATTGATAATACTAAACCTGGTTTTAAAGTATACAGAACTTTAGATGATACAGTGATGTGAGTAACATTTGTGAGTAACATTTGAATTTTGTGTTACTTTTATCCTATATGTGTATGAACATATATACATATAGTGTGTCCAGTTTATCTATAAACAGTTAAATATCTCAAAAAAATATGAGAGACACGAGAGATTGATTCAGACAAAAGTTTGAGCATATTAGGGGTACATTCGTGCTGGTATTTCTGGTATATCATCTTGAAGTGATCTTGAAATGACCTAAGAGTATTGCATTAAAGTTTCTTGTATATTTTTTATTACAATGTTGGCAGTATTTTGGTAACTTTATCATTTTATATTTCAAAATTATGTTACACGAAATACACATGCTTGTAAAGTTTTGAAAATGTTTTGGTGTCAGCTATAAAAATATATAATAAAAAATATAGAGATGCATTTAAAAACTTTAATGTAATGTTCACAGGGCACTTCAGGATCATTTCAAGGTGATATAAATACCAACGTATGAGACTCTCAATATTCTGATCTTTGCCTGAATCATTTTTACGTATCTTTTATATTTCTCGAAATATTTAACTGTTCACAGATAAACTGGACAGCTATGTATATACGTATATACACATATGTATATATAATACAACTATTTTTATTTTTTTCATATCCAGATTTGACTCTATTAATACAGGAGGTTTCATATTTGCTGATCAGTTTTTGCAGATAAGCACTCTTTTGCCGAGCCATAATATTTATGGTATTGGCGAACATAAAACGAAGCTAAAATTAAATACTAATTGGCAAATGTTTACATTATTGAACAAGGATCAACCACCAATAGAAAATGTATGTTGATTCATTTTAAGACATTATTTAAATTTACACTTTGTTTCTACTTGACATTTTTTAACATATATATTTATAAAGACAAGCTTTCAAAATCTAGGCAAATTTATATGGATCTCATCCCTTCTATCTCATAATTGAAAATTCCGGAAGGTCTCACGGGCTTCTATTTCTCAATAGTAATGCAATGGGTAAATGATGTTAAAAGTAATCTTTAATTTATATTATATAATTCGCTGAAATATGTGTCATAACGTCTGCTATTTGTAGATGTGATATTACAACCGTCGCCTGCTATTACCTTTCGAACTATTGGCGGTGTTTTTGATATATATTTCTTTCTGGGTCCAACCCCGACAGATGTCATAAAACAATATTCTGAGATAATAGGTAAACCATTTCTCCCCCCATATTGGTCCCTTGGTTTTCATTTATGCAGGTAGGAAAGTTATCTCATTGCAAAATAATTGTTATTATATTCTTATTATATTTTCCAAAATTGTGCAGATACGGATATGGAACCTTAGAAAAAACAAAGGAAATATGGAATAGAACCATAGCAGCGGGAATTCCATTTGTAACATGTTTTACATAAATCATTAAATTCATATTCTTTAAACGAATATGTAATAGATGAAGTTTAACCATTTTCATTCATTTTATTTTCAGGATACTCAATGGAATGATTTAGATTACATGGATAAAAATAACGATTTCACATATAATCCAAAAACATTTAAGGAGTTACCACAATTTGTGAATGAAATACATTCAGTATGATTTGAAGTTATATATACATGTAAAAAATATACAAATTTAATATGATGCATGACATTCTATATATTGTAGAGAGGAATGCATTATATTCCCTTAATCGATGCGGGAATATCTGGTTCTGAAAAGCACGGAACTTATTTGCCATATGATGAAGGTATGAAAGAAGATATATTTATAAAAGATGGAGCAACTGATCAGCCATTTGTTGGCAAGACGTGGAATTTTGTTTCTACTGTGTGGCCTGATTTTACGAATCCCAAAACGCAAAACTATTATTTCCACATGATGAGCAACATGCATGATAGTTTTGCATACGACGGTGCTTGGATCGTATGCATACATATTTTCTATTATCTATTAGTGAAAATAAAATTGTCTTACATTAATAATATTCATCTTTGCTTTGTGTTTTTACCTATTGCTAGGATATGAATGAGCCATCTAATTTTTACGATGGACATAAAAATGGATGTCCAAAAAGTAAATTGGATTATCCGAAATATGTACCGAACGTTGTAGGAGACATACTCGCAACAAAAACATTGTGCATGAACGCTAAGCATTACTTAGGTCTTCATTATGATCTTCATAATACTTATGGCACAAGTCAAGCAATAGCAACGAATTAGTAAGTACGCTATTAATCATAAAAGAACTTACAAGTGAAGTATAAAGCATAGTTAAATTACGTAACATTGGCAATGTACACAGTGCACTGACCAATATTCGACGAAAAAGACCATTTATAATATCGCGTTCAACTTGGGTGGGTCATGGGCACTATGCTGGTCATTGGACAGGAGATGTTTATTCCTCATGGTAATTGTTGCGCCTAGTGTTTATAAATATTCATAAATATTTATTAAATATTCGCATTTTACGTAATACATTGGACATACGTTAGGCACGATTTAAAAATGAGTATTCCAGCAATATTGTTGATGAATTTTTACCAAATACCAATGGTTGGTGCAGACATTTGTGGATTTAATGGAAATACAACAGCGGCATTATGTAATCGTTGGATGCAACTTGGTGCATTTTATCCTTTTTCTCGTAATCATAATTCCGACGATACAATCGTTTGTATTTATGAATTCTTACTGCATGAAGACCATTAAATTCAATTATTTCTTTCAAACGATATGTCTAATATTGTTATTATATATCATTTATAGGAACAAGATCCAGTTGCTATGGGCGATTTAGTAATAAAATCATCAAAGCGTGCCCTTACGATACGTTACTGGTTGTTACCCTATTTATATACGTTATTATTTCGAGCACATAAATTTGGAGAAACTGTAGCACGACCACTATTCTTTGAGTAAGTGTATTGACCATATAAGACCTGTTTAGAGTGCTTGTAAGATTTAACATTCTTTTAGATACTCGAACGATTCGGCCACATACGATATCGACACTCAGTTCTTATGGGGTAGTTCTTTGATGATAATTCCAGTTTTAGAAGAAGTAAGTTAAGGTCCATGTTAATAAATCACTAATATTTAAATAGTTAAAACAGTCATATTTTTTTTTTTTTTTTGATGCACTCCATTCCTGATTATTAGAACAAAACGAAAGTATCAGCTTATTTACCACATGGAGTGTGGTATAATTTTTATACAAAAGAATCCGTCTTCGCGCTGGGTAAATATTACACGATGAATGCGCCACTCGATACTATACCATTGATGATTCGCGGAGGATCCATTTTACCAGTACAGAAACCAGCTGATACTACAACTAGCAGTAGAAAGAATAATTTCGAATTATTGATTACTTTGGATCATGTGAAAAAGGCAAAAGGCGAACTATATTGGGATGATGGCGATAGTTTAGGTATATATTGCATTGATGCCATAGTTAGTAGTATTAATTTCTATAGAAAAGGATAGACCTTACTGATTTCATTGACCGTTGTTCGGCCTTAGTTTTGCGAAATGTATATGATCTTTTTAGGACTAGATTTCGGTTCGACTGTTGGTTTGAGCTGGTTCAGGTAAGATTTAGTTTAAATAATAAATGTATATGGAATTTATGATAATAATATAGGAGAGACCATCTAATTGATTTCATTGAACATAATGTTCACATGGAACATTATGCTGGGTCTATAACAGAATTTTTGTCTCATCGGTAATACGATTACGGCAGTCTCAAAAAATAAAACTGTAATTATTTTTTATATTTATTGCCTAATAATCAAAATACCATCGGAAACTAAAGTTGAGCGGTGGTCATATGCACGTAAAAGTGAAATTACTCAGAATGCTGATCTCAACAACATATATCAAGATCAATAAGAATGATAAAGCACGCCCTTTTCTACATAATTACTTAAATTTTGCATAAGCTTGTTTTAATAAGCGGATGTGTATTTACAGATTCGCTGGAGAAGGAACAATTTGTATGGTCAGTTTTCACCATTGAGAATAATACTCTATCCGCTGCCAAAGCAATGAAGAGTTCTTTTAATGAAAAAATGATCTTAGGAGAAATACAAATATGGGGAATAACATCTAATATTTCACGAGTATCTTTAAACAATCACGAAATACAATTTAAATATGACAGCAAAGAAAATGTGAGTTTTCTATTCTTATAATTAGAATGATAAAAGCGTGACAACTATTTTCAAATTCTAATGAGATTGTTCTGATTGTATAACTTTTATCTTTTTTTGCATATTCAACATGTAAAAATATGAATTACCTAAAGTAATTTTTCAGTGTTTGAACATAAGCAACTTACAAATAGACTTAAGAGAGAATTTCTTGCTTTCTTGGGAATACACTGATTTTGAACAACACGATGACAGTAACAAATGACAGTAAACTTGCTCAAAATATATGTTCACTTGTATTACATATAATATTGTTGCTACAGGTATGATATACAAAATATATTTCAATCGTTTTTAATATTAATTTTACTATAATACTCTATTTGTATACATATATTCCTACATGTTAAAGCACATATTTTTTGAATAAAGAAGAGAAGCATTTTATTGAAATAACTGTACAATTGACTATACAATAAAGTAGAATACGTTATGGCACTAGAACGAATAAAAATAATAAGTATACATAATTCGAAATGTTTCGAAATAATCCATTCTCCGCGTATTAATTAGAACGTAATTAAATGTAACGCAGACTTTACATATAGTTCGTTCATAATTGAAAGCAATAGGAAATATAACAACACAGGTAATCGATCATCACACAATAGATAATGTTGAATGAAAAATTTCACTTTGGCACCGTTTAACGTATATAAAATAAAGCAATTCGAGCACTTAAACAGCATCATCATTAAAACATTGAAATCCTTCTTTGAATTCTATATGCGTATTTACAATCATGTAAGTGTGCCTTACGACCTCGATCTATATTCAGTGTCTTCTATGACCTTTATTTGCATTTCTATAGCAGAAAGTAGATTCTTATCTTTGGAATAAATTTCAATGCGACTAGCCCAAACCGACTGTAGTCCTTGTCAATATACATATATACGTCGTGTAAGTAACCTATCGTACTTACATACGCTTGCTTGAATTTTTATAAGACGAATACGTAGACACGTATCGAATAAATGATGGATGATTTCGTTGAGATCTTTGTTTCAAATTTTCAAACGTCATTTGTTAGAAAATAATTATTTTTATCGGATCATTTTGTCGTACGAAATGACCTATACAAACATTTGATTTTATCGGGTTTCATAAACTAAAACTCGTAAAACTATGAAATTAACACGATGTAATTATATGTAGAAAATGTTTGAAACATTTACAAAATATAAAATATTAATCTAGTACGTGGTACCTTTTCACATATGGATATTGTACATATTGGAAAAGTTTCTAACAAATTGATAATTATTACTCGGTATAATATTATCGCACTACGTAATATACACAATTGTATAATTAATTATATATTTTTCTATTTGTATTGCATACTAATAAAACAAAATAACATACTTAATCGTATGTAATATTAGTAATATACGTGTATACATATTTTTTATTCTTCTCAACTATATTAATCTTGCAACTTTAATCATTATTGTCTGCTCACATTTACTTATGCCTATTTAAAAGATGAACTTGCGTTTTATGCGTACGAGCATATTTATTAAACATATTAACGTTAATATGCACGATTTACGCACTGAAACGAACAAATATACGCTAACGAGAATTACACAACGTACATATGAGAAAAGGAAATAACGACTATAAGGCTTTTAGGTATTGGAAGGCTCCCGTTTGACAACGGGGCCACGAACACAACAGAGTTCCATGTAGCACCGCGCGTCTTTTTTTAGATTTGAAAAAGATTCTACGAAAAGATCGAAAATGTTGCTCTTTTCACAAATTTTCTATTCAAATGAAAATAACGTATCGTATAATCTAGAAAAAAGAAACAAACAGAAAGTAAAATAATGGCAAGAAAAATATCACAAAGGAAAATCAATAAAGTTTATATACATTTAACTTGAACGTTATACTTGTGCAGTAACTTGCACACAACAATGAATGTATCTATAAATATAAAATGCTTACGTCTAATTCATGGAATATATGTATTGCTACAAACACATACAGTAGCCTACATTGGTATTTAGCCTCTTCGAATTAAGTAAGAAATTACCCAAAAACTTGAACTACGATACTCGTATCATCATTCAGACATATCTACATATTAATTTACACAACAACAAATTTTCTAATCGATTTTCTCTGTGTCCGCTCCCGTTCTCCCTTCCTGTTTACTTATCGTCATCATCAGTATCATCATCATTAACAAAATATATCTCCCGTTACGGCAAATACAAATGCATTTTCAATTTATTGCCATACGTACACCTTTCCATTTGTTGTTCGTAATCGATAATATTAGCCATCATCGTAACATGCATAATATCATCTCATATATTTTTGTACAAGCGATGAAAATGAGCAGCATGTAGTACACCCATCTGGACGATATTATATAATAAATAAAAAAGAGTTATTAATATTACCATGGGCAAGAAATAGTATGACGCATGGCACCCTGAAGAAAACGTAGCCTGTTGACTGTTAAAAATATCTGTACGGTAACAGATATACTTATATATTCGTTAACGAGGAACAACTCATGAAATTGAAGTATCATATCACTTAGAATCACATAAATCACAATGAAAATTATATATCGTGTATATTATCGCTTTATACTTTGCGTAAAAGTATAAAATCTACGTATTTTCATATTGTTCGTACGAGTTTTTGCAGTACAAACAAACAACATGGCACGCGATGTACATATAACTAACTTATCACAAAGCAAATTGAATACCGACTTTTCAATTTTAGATGATGAAATATTAAAGTATTTATCAAGTCTATTAGTTTTTACACAACTCGGTATTACTTGTACAAAACATAGTCAGTGTAAAACTCATTCTGAATATCATTAAAGTGCATGCTATGTCGTAAATCGATTTTATATTTGATCTTTCATAATACGGAAAGAGGAATAAAACGGCAGAAGTAGAAACGCTGATTATAACGAGTCGCTTGCCTATTATTAGGAATATTACATTTGCACTTTGGACTAGCAAGTACTAATTTTATACTATATGAAAGAACGTCTGTGCATCGAAATTCTAATAAATAATCACTAATGATTTCGTTTCTTAAAATTAGATTATTATTACTAGGTAGCCTGTTCTGTTCACTGACAGATACGTATCGTTTCGCTTAGTTACTTGAAATTTTCTGTTATTTGTTCACCTGTACCTATATCTACCCACTGTCCATCTATGTAATCATTGTCGAAGGAAAATATAATAATATAGGACTTGGTACAAAGATCGCCTGTGGTTGAAGAAAGGCAGTCTTGGATCTAAAAAGCGTCTGCTTTAGAATCAGGATCAGATCGTAATTTTGAAAGGATTTGAGGTATCGACCGGTATTTTTGTTAGTCTTTGGTAAATATATACCAGCGATTGCCACATAGATGATGTTAAAACGAGTAGGACTTTGATTTAAGTAGCAGTCAATGTTTCCAAAATATCTTCGGGAGTTTTATTCAATTTGCGAAAATGTTCCCAATGTTCTTTAGGTACAGTCCATTTGAGGAATATCTCGAGATTCTTGGTGAGTGTTTCAAGTTCGGATAAACCGTTGCTTGCCACTGGATCTTTGCCAGCGGATATCAGAGAATCGTAAAGAACTTGGTCGATCAGTCGTTTACCAAAGCCTAGTTCGTCGAGTCTTTCTTGCTTGCTGATTCTTTTAAGAAGTACAGCGAGCAACAATCTCATCCTCTCGACAGTCATTATTCTATATTTGGAGGGCGACGGCGAGGGTTTATCGCTGATTATTTCATTGGAAAGCAGAGTCGCTGTCGGTTGTAAGGCCATGGAAATAGATGCTGGCATGATCGTGTTTGTGATTAAATCTGAGGTTTGAGTATTCGGAACGTCGTGTTCAGTCTCGGATTCAGGATGACAAGTTTTTTCGTGGCATTCCAGATCATTTTTAATTCTGAAGAAACTTGTACACTTTTTGCAAGCGTACGGCTCATTTCTGCCATGGATACATTTCATGTGTTTTTTCCAATGGGGTAGTTGCGTGAAACCAGCGTTACATTCGGCACATTTGAACGGTCTTTCGCCAGTGTGTCTTCTTGTGTGAAGTTTAAGTGCCGTCGAGTGTGCAAATGCCTGCCAACAAACCAAACACCTAAACGGTCTTTGTCCAGAATGCGTTCTCTGATGGACAGTCAATTGAGATTTTTGAGCAAATCTTTGACCACACGTGGCACAACCGTGTGGCCGATCACGTGCATGCGTTCTCATGTGTTGAGGTAAATGGCCCTTGAACGTCTTGTTGCAGATTACACAGAGAAAAGATTTAACGTCTCTGTGAAGACATTCTAAATGTTTCTTGAGAGCGTCTCGCCGAACGAACGCACGACCACAGATTTCACACTTGTGATCCTTTTGTCCGTTGTGTCGTTTTACATGTAACGCCAAATTCGCAGCGCAGGTGAACGTGCCAGAACATAAACCGCAACGATACGGTTTTACCTGGCTGTGAGTACGTCGATGCTGCACCAGTTGTCCTCCTCTGGCGAAACTCTTGTCGCATTCTGGGCATTTATATGGCTTGAAGCCAGTATGTGTTCTCACGTGCAGTTTTAATCTTTCTTTTAAAGGGAACTCTTTCCCACACTCGTCACATTTGAAGATTGGTCCCGCACCGTGTACGATCTTATAGTGGTTACGAAGACCTCCGCTACCCTTAAATCGCGCCTCGCACACTACGCAACAATATCTCTTTTGCTGATTCTCTTGTTTAGTTTTCATACCGTGCAAAGCGGTACTTTGATTCTTGCTGCGGTCGCACTCGCTGCCGTTTGTATTCTCTTCCTTCGAATACGGCGACGGCGTTGATGATGACAACAATGACGATGACAACGACGACGACGACGACGACGACGATGACGATGACGATGACGATGACGATGACGATGACGATGACGATGACGTTGATGTTGATATTGACGTTGACGACGTCGATTTGGTAGCCACTATACTGTCGGAGGTTTCTGGTCTGCATAATGGATTTGTAGGATTCTCTTCATCTTGAACCTTATTATTATTATCTTTATTCCCCGCAAGGTAACTCATCGTTGTTATATGAAAATTGACATTTGATACGTTTGCCGAATCTCCCAGTAACAATTTTGGGTTTGATACTTTCGTATCAAATATGCTATTTTTCTCAGCAGTGATAATAAATCGTTTTTCTGCTACATCAATGTTATTTTCAATCGACGTCCCACGAGGAATCGCTATTCGATTGAATAACGTTCCATCGGTAGTCTTCGCAGACTTCTCGTTTTCGTATGTTTGTTCCACTTTTCTTAAGTTTACCTTCCGTCCTTGTTCCCCATCTATCAACTCACGACGAAACATGTAAACGTCATCGTTTAACTCACTATTGTTGTCTAAATCCAAATAAATTGTTGACTCTACCTGTTCGTTATTCTCCGATAAGAAATTTCCCCTCTCATTTTCGAGGAATGCGTTTTCTCCTAATTTATAGCGGTGTGTCATCCCATCGTCGCCATTTCCTTCATCTCTTTGATCTTTAGTATTTTCTACCGTACGAACGATCGTTCTTTTTTTCGTAGATTTTACTACACAACCAATCATCGACTTTTTATCGAAATGTTTGTATTTTCTGTTCTTTGTCCTCGATTTATTTTCGAATCTTCGAACATTGTTTCTTTCTTTTTCTTTTCTGATTTCGGTGCTATCGATCACTTGTTTATCGTACTCAGCAATTCTCTTTCGCAGTTTATCTTCTCGCCACTGTTTGTCCTTCTCTTGTTTTTCTTGTTCAATTTGCTCGATTTTTCGGCAAAGAGACAAATTTCGCGAGCAAAGTTCATGTTCATCGTTGTTATAGCAACTATCGGCAGTTGTGAAACTTCGCAGTATCTTCAAAGCATCGGTCGCATCAGCATTTGTGTTCATATGTTTAAAAATTTCATTCTCCCTTATTCGCGATTGCTTCACTGGTAATAATTCGGTCAGCTGAACTTCCTCTTGTTGCGGTTGTTCGCTTCCAGCTACTTGACTTAAAACGTTTTGTTGCATATCGATTTTGACCATTTAACTTTCTATTTGTTTTTTAATCCTACACAATTACATACGCAACTTGCGATTCACCCTTTCTCTTTCTTTTTCCTTTTTTTATCAAAACACACGTCAATCGTGATTGTTTTTACTTTCACAATCAATATTAAAATCGCACAATGCGCTCATCATCGGCTCTACTTTGGTCCTGAAGGAAAATTTGTTATTTATTTGTTGTAGCCAGAACTAGAAGCAACGGAGTTAAGCTTAGCGAGGCAATACGTTCGTGTTCAAAGTAACTATAGTTGGTTATCGTATTCTTATCGTTTCGATATTTCCTCTCTTCTCCCCCTCTTACTTCCTTCTATTTCGCTTTCCCACTTTTGTTCGCGTTTCTCCTCTCTTTAGTTCTTTAACTCCTTTTTTCTTTCTGTTTTTCCTTCGTCCACAGTCTATTGCACTAACTTTTTATTTATTGCATCAAACAAGCGTGCGTCGGGTGATACATTTAAACGGATTCTTGTTTGAAGCTTACGTGTCGTCGTGAATATCTTAAATCATAGTTATAATCGTTTACCAATCCTACATTCGTAATCGAAATCCAGAAATTAAAAGTGGGCTAATGAAAGAAATACGAAAAAAGCCAATATCATGGAAATAACTAGGCGCGTTCTTTTCCCCTTCTTACTTACAATTCCTTCGGTGCATACTTACTAATGACAACTTCTCTTTTCACGTGGTAGCTTTCCGTAAATGCGCGTTTCGTTCGTGCGCGCATTGGAATCACCGAGGCTGTTACAAGGATACAAGGATACCGGAAGAAATGGAATAACGATAAAACCGATAGTCGAAGAACAACAATTTACCCAGTTTTCGCGGAAGAATCAAAGAATTCAGCCGAATGGTTACGTGATGAAATAGATCAACGTACTGACAATGAGAATACACGGAGCTTTTTCTTCTGACCGACAAAATGATTGATATCAGTACAAGAGGGAATAGTAGCTGCGAAATAACGGCGGCCATATAAAGAAAGTACGGCAGAACAACAGGGTTATTGTTCGTCGGTGATGGTCGTCGCGACGATCGACTGACTGCTTGTTCCTCGCGGCGGTACGCTGCTTCCTCAACAGCGATTGCGCGCCTTTTTCCACGCAAGCGCAATTCACGGTCGATATCGCTCTGGATTTTACCCCTCAGCCCAGCCAGACACCCTCTCCACCCTGCTTCAGACTCTTTCCATACCTTTTTCGTTCCTTCAACCCTCCTCCTTCGATTTTCTCGTCTACAATCTTTCGTCTTTCTTTCCTCCAACTCGGTCATTCGCTGTACTTTCTTTCAACTAACAGAGTCCCATTGCGACTGCTGCTACTACACTAATTCCTCATTATCTTCAGAGAATACGTTTCTTTGAAGGAGAATTCAATACTCATCGATATGTCAGTAAAGTTGTTGTCAATAAAATAGTTATTTATTCAGATAGAGTTACCAGCTTTGCTATAAGCGAATCTTTCGAGAACTTTATATCTCTTCTGCCTCTTTTATGCCTCTTCTACCCCTCGCCTTCTCCATCATGATATACTAATTGTTCTAAACCCCACCCTTTCATTTACCTACTCGCTCGCGGTATATGATAGATTCACCTCCCTTCCCTTCTCTCTCTCTCTCTCTCTCCCTCCCTCCCTCCCTCCCTCCCTCCCTTTCTCACTTAGTCTTTCGTTTTCGATTGTTCGTTCGATGATAACATACATCAAATCAACCGTATTGACCGCATTCCATATGAACAAAAGAGATTGTTCTTTTTTTACACTCAAATCTATCGTTTGTCACGAAATATAAATCTTTAAAATTATAATTAGAAAATTCGTATCTTTCTCTTTTTCTTTTGGTATTAAATTACGAAATGCTGACACCAACGAACGAAAGTAAGTCGATAAAGGCATCGTAATTTTCCATGGGTTAATAACTCCTTTTCATGGTGGCGAGTGTCACTTTTACTTCGAGATTTGTTACTCAGTTATAGTACATTACCTTTGCATAAAAATTATTAACATGCAGTACATTCTTCATTATGTAATCGATCATAACCAACTCCCCCTCAAGTTGGTCATCTATTCTTTATCTTTCAGCAGAGACCAATTTGGTATTACTGCTGTTAATAACATAGCTATATATATATATATATATATATATATATGTAGCAAGACACATTACTATAAGATTAAACCATATACTTATGCGTTTACGCGCGTACCATCACCGATGCTTTTCAAGTGCTCGATTAATGGTTTCTTTGGTAACATATTCCCTTTGGTAATAAAATTCTAGCGGAATCGGTAGTTTATTGATATTTCATTACGATGGAGTTACCTGTGTGTTGTTATTCATTTGCGATATCCGATGCACGATCCTCGGTTTTCCAGAAATACGGTCTTTGTTTGCAATACTTTGAAGGTACGATTGGAACAACATTCGCAATTCAAGCCTGTTATTATGTTTCTTCTACAGTTAAGCTCGCATGTTCTGGATTGATTGCATCGTCTTCTTCTATATGACGAAACGTTATAATTTCTTCTTTAAGGAGTAAGCTTAAGTCTTCTTTTCTTGACTAGATCGCGTGCGTATTAACCTTACGCAAACGAGAGTACTGCTTGGTCATTTGGTATTCCATAATCGCTTGCTCTCTTTTTTACTTGGCAATTGCAGATATATATATATCATGTATATATACACATATGTACAAAGATAATCCATCTCCATCTCAATTAGTAAATTGTGTTAGTAGTTTTAGGCCTCTCCCCTTTTGAATTGTTCCCCTCATTAGCACGAAAAGCAAAGAACCCGCCACCATCTGAAAGAAACCAAGAGAAATACCGCAGGTATTTCTTTGCTGTCTTTAATCTATCAGTATGTATGTATTATTGTCATTTAGAATAAGCACATGAACCAATTGTTATACCATACTATAGATATGTATCATCGATTGATGTCAGCGTTTACTTTCCACCTTACCGTTTTCACTGTTACTTCGCTGTTTCACTAATTATAAATTACAGACCCTTTTTGTATTAAATTAAATAATTTATATTTACTTGTTCAATTCTCAATCGATTAACGTTATAATCAATTTACATATTATAAATTCATTTTAAGCAAAAAATTGCAACGAAACTAATTATTTACTAAAGAAATTAATTAAAGAGTCTACTTTTTATTTACTAGATTAAAAGTGAGATGAATCGATGATACCGTTACGCCTCAAGTTCTTGCCCATTTTCGTGTCTCTGGTTTGAATCAGCTTTATGATCTCGCGCGAGTACACAAATACAAATTGATATGATCATGTGTATCATATGCTCATAAATATTCCTGTTCGCATACAGACGGTCGCTAGAGAACTCATGCTCTCGTTTGACCGCGACGTGACACATGCTTGTGCTCCGCATTGAACTTCCCAGTCTGGAAAGAGGAACGGTTCGTACATACGTATGTACATATGTACTTGTGTAAGTACGTATCCCGAGATTTCGTTGCTCAACCGATGGAAATCTCCGATTTCTTTCCCATTCATGTTCTATTTAAATCTCACTCGAAATTTGTTCAAAATTCCTTCGATATCACTTTTTACTCACCAGACACAACGGCGATCGAAATTTCAGCTATTACTGCTAAATAAGAGGCTTCCTTACGAAGCGTCCGCTCAACCCTACTCCTGTATCGCCATCTTCAAATCACATTCGACTCTGCCGATGAAATTCACAAAAGCTGAATAGAGGGGCGAAACAATTCTAATGAAATACTGTACCATCTTCTTCCGATAGATGGTGCGCAAGACTTGAGCAAATGTGTATATTATAAATATAATGTACAGTGCACATTGTATATGACATATATGCGCTTATGAATATAGACATATGTAACGTGGCGTGTAAATATGTACACATGTGCAATACGCAAGATTATATGTACCTGATTAAATGTCTGTATTTTTGCTCTTCCCCGCACTCTCACTCCCTCCCTCTCTCTCTCTCTCTCTCTCTCTCTCTGTCTCTCTCTCTTTGTGCTCCTTTTCGAAACGATATTTTTAAAAATTAAAATGTACCGCGTTTTTCTATTTCGTTCATTTATCGTTTTGTTTACAAGCTTTTACAAAAATTATACTTAATAACCTAAAAACGGAGAACCTATGAACTGTCTTGATTACCTGATATGTAATTATATATCCGAGATTTGCCTAGTAACTGTTATATATCTGAAAAAGTTTAATCATTTCATATTAAATGTCTAATTAGTAACAAATATTTTTCAATGTACACATATACAATGTATATATATTAATTGAGAATGGGGTGTATATTTATCTGTAGTATGTACATACATTGTGCGATTGTACCCATAGAGATACAAAGGTAAAGTATGCCAATCATATAATACCGTGTAAAACAGTGCAAATAGATACAATATAAAAATAGGAAGAGAACGCTGCATAAAGGTCCCTTTCTACTCGTCTCTAATCGGCCATGCACACTGGCGTCACTCGTTGATCGGTGTTTCACATGCATATTTATTGTACGAATCTGCATACTTTATCAGAGAAGGACACAAGGGGTTTCTATGGAGCGTTCTCTTCCTATTCCTATATCGCTTTTTCAGCTCGCTCACGCACTCTGTTTTTATATGTATGTATCTCTATAGTTGTGCTACGTCGTAGGAATCATCCAAATTCAACTATGATTCAATGGATATTAAAGAGTGTCATATGTCGATATAGTAGATTCCTCAGTAACAACCTTACAACCACGCCCCTGATATGTACAATGATATATATATATACACACACATATATATATATATATATATATATATATATATATGTATGTATGTATATATGCATATGTATGTTATGTAAGGATAAACGAGGTATCTCATCTGTAATGTAACATATTAGACAATAACATATTACACAACGTTTTCACGAAACATAAAAGTTAGGGAACACATTGTGAGAATATATAATATGACAGTATTTGTATTTAAAAAAATATATTACATCGGTACATTGTGTCATTGATAAAAATTATAAATATATATAAAGTTATATATATATAAATTGATTATATTCGAACGTAGTTATATATTTTACTTTTAGTTTACTTTGAGGATTCTATGAAATTCTAAAGTAAATTATAGAATTACTTCTCTTAATGGATATTATGAAAAGATTTGATAACGATCCTTTTATTGATATATATTTATAGTTATATATGATACATATGCAATAAGCATGAAAATAAATACACATATTAAAGTGAAGTGCTTTATAATGCTTTATAGCTATCTTGTTTCCTGTTCATTCGGAATACTATGCAATAAGTAACAAGCAATAAATAATAATCATCATTTGTTGAAAAAAGAAAGCACAGACTATAGAAAATCAATTGGTTTTGTAATTAGAATTAGTTGAAACATGATTTCGAATCGCAAAAGGCGCCATTGTTGCCGCGAAAGTCGAAGAATGACGGAAACAAACGAAGCTAGATGGTAGGAGAGGAGGCGACTCTGACGACGAGGTCGAGTGCAGACGCGAGTGCTAGTGCGGACCATGTAGATGTTGTGTGAGTAATTGTAATGAAAAAGAAAACGTGTCGGTTCAATCTTATTGAATTTTTGTTTAACTGTCACTCGAAGCGCCTCACTTTTTCTGTTTGGACTGTGTGTAACTGGCAATCGTAAGTGACACGACTACCACGATCAGATCGTATCTCTTCTATCTATATCTTTACGGTTTTTTCTCTCGTCATTCCATCGTTTCTTTCGCTCTCAAGCTTTGAACGAATCCGAGTTGGTTAGTTATTACGTCGTGTGTGCTCGATAACATTATGTGCTGGCAATGTGAACGACAATATCGACTATAACGGTAACGGTGACGGCGACGACGACGGCGACGGCGGCTGTGACGGCGACGGCGG